TTTTCTTTTTCTTTTTATCAATATTCTTTTCCTTTGTTTTAAAACCAAACCAACCCAAAAAGCCCAACATAACCAAGCCCAAGAGCAAAAGAAACCCATCTCAACTTAAGATAAAACCAACCACACGGAGCCCGATATATATAATTTAATTAAAGTTTCATTTAAAAATTAAATGAAAATCTCCTGATTCGAGACTAACTAACCTGAGGGACTCGGGGCTTTACATTTAAGCTCGTGAAGTTGATACACATTCTCTATTTACCGTTTTATTTTTTTAACTAAGACAACATTAGAAAGCCAACTAGAGTAGATAACTTCCTTTATTTATTGAGCTTTGAAAAGTTTATCCACTTCTCTACAATAATTGCATTTCTCTCACTATTTATAACTCGACGTTTCTACTTAATAGGTCGATGAGAGGGGTCTATGTTGAGGTGGTGAACCATGATGAGTAGATGTCATTCATGTGACCAGGCGAAGACGTCACTGGCATGCCTCTGTGGATGGTGAGGTCATCTTCGTCTAGGTTGGACTTCTCTGAGATAGCCGCACATGTTGAGGAACCTTTGAGGGTAGCAGCATAACATCTGCTCGAGGTCTTTTGTTCCTCTCGAACTGCTCCAACCCCCTTGGAGGTCGGATACTTCAAGACTTGGTAGGCTATTGAGGAGACGACTTGCAGAACATGAATATTTGGGCCAAATTGACATTGTAGGTCAACTGATAACTCTTCAAAAGAGAGTTATTTTGGAAGAATTATGAGCTAAAGTGAGTGCAAATGTGAGGATCACAATCAAAATAGCATATTAAAATGAGGATTTATTTAAGAAATAGAAAAATTATGTTTGAAATTCTTGTTTTGCTGAAAGGAGATAATTATGGCTTAATTCTTCTGTTTTTGGGTTGTTTTTGCAGAAGCTGGAAGCATTAGTAGTAGTGTAGCTGAGTCAGAGGAAAATGCTAGGACTCCCAAAGCTAGGACCTCCGATGCTGGAGCATCGCTTACTACAGAAATTCCTGAGCAGCGGAATAACTGTTTTACGTGGAATTTTTGCTATTGTTCGTATCTCGTGTGTTTTAACTATGTTTGCTCTAATTTTTAAGAAAAATATAAAAGGTTTAAGATGAGGGTTGT